AAATTGTTCGGAAGTTCAAACAAAGATTGGTAACAGTTGGAATCAAAATGTAGTATCGAAAATTTTATTTGACATATTATTTATCTGATTTGATATATTCTTCTTATTCAAAGTTTGACACCATAATCTCTAATCGTGAAAACTCATTTTCAGATGAGATTTCACATCGAAAAATTCGATCATCGATGTCAGAAAGAGAACTCGATTTACATTTACATGATAAAGCGAGTCTTATTCATGCACTTGGTAATGCTGGGGACGAATCATCGTTTCCCTTGGTGGTATCTTACTTATCCCATAGTGAAACACCTTCCTTACTGAAACGCAGTGCAGTGCAAACCTTGCGGCACTACCACAACGAAGAGGTTTGCTTTTAATTATTTTCGATGATACAGTATACATATATCAATATATTTTTTATATATTAACGTTACTGGTTTACCCACTTTTAAACTCTATTGTGTTTTTCTGATGGTAGTCTTATTAACATTTAGTCGAAATTTAAACAGTCTTATTGGTCAATTAATAAAAAATATTTTGGATAAAAAACAGCAAATATAAACAAATCTTTGAAGTGTTCATTGCCAATAAAATATATATGCAGGCAGCTCACCACATCCTATCAGTAGCGCTGACTGACCCACGGCCACACGTTCGCCATTCCGCAAGCTTACAATACTGGATGCATCCTCATGCTGCCGATGTGCAAGAAATACGAAATATAGTTTATCTTGGGTAAGTTAAATATGTTATTTAACCATTTTCATGCACCATTACATTTGTTCCGATTGATGGACATGAGTAGGAAAATTCAATGTGCAATGCACTAATCAAACAATGTCTCTTACATTGAAATTAGAATCAAGTTTTACATAATGATAATTCATTTTATCGAATATATGTTTAGATTCACGGTTTGTGTCTCATAAAATGCACAGGAATTAGAATGAAAATGTTTACACGTTTTTCGATCCCTTGCGATAACAGGCATTTTTCGACCCGAAAGCAAGAGGTTTTTACAGCAACTGGCATTTTTAAAAATCAAGACATATGCAACTACTTGAATATTAGTTCAAATTTTGCTGCACTATATTGAGGTACGGATATCCTAGAGTCATTTTATCGACTCGTCAGAGCAATTCTGATTTCCTGGATAAAAGTATAGGTATGTACAGAGTAGGCCAAAAGGCCCATTTTTATTTGGCGAATACCGTTTAAGTAATAAATCTATTTCTTAAATTATTTTGCTGGAAATGTTTCTAAACTGGATAGATGAATCTTTAGCTCTTAAGCGGTTTTTAGATAAGAACGATATCAACTAGGGGTCTAATTAAAAAAACATACAGTTTCCAGAACAATGTTCTATTTTTGTTTTCTTTTAGTGGATGGATACCATCTTCCTATTTCAATAATATTATTACAACAAATATGGATGAACGTTTTTATTGAAAACCTTTACAATGAACACTGTATATTCCATGTACCTAACAACATTGTTTTTTAAGCTACCGTAATACAAGTTTGCATGAACAAGCTGAAAAGGTTCTCCACAGGCATAAGAGAGGGACTAGTGTATTTAAATTAATTGATATTAAAATTAAACTTCCCGGGATGGATTGGAGAAAACAAATCGGAACGGAAAACATAGGAGCTAAATTCGGCTTAGTTATTAAAAACATCATGACTTTACAAGTAGGTGAGTGATTAAACAACGTTTAGACTACGTTTTTAAGACCAATAACTGGTAAATAACAATGATAAATCATGAGCTCGATCATGAAATGTTGACTTACTATAAATAATAGATGTTTAATGTCTTCCAGAACCATTACGTGGCCACTTTTTGGTTGATATCCATGATATGATATATGCGAAAGGTGTTATAAAATTCCTAGGATTCGATATGGAATTTATTTTGGCTGAGGTGTGTTTCTATGGAGAAGTTAAATACAACCTGAACATTTTCCAGGTACATATAAGTGTCTTGCAATGCAATTAATATTGTTACGGATTTAAAGATTAATGTATATTATCTTTTTCAAAATCCATTCAGACATTGACATGGTTCATTTATAGCACGGGGCTCATACAAATAAATTCTGCACGATGATATTATTTCAGGAATTTTCGTTTGATGATGCCCAAAAGCTCGTTGCATTGTATGACGTAATCGCAAATAAAGTGATTGGTAATATACAAAATGTAATCAAACGGTTTCGTGATATAATGGACCGACATCAGAAACATCGATTAGCTGATGTGTTTGATAAAATAATTGATGCTATTGCAAATGTACCTAAAAACCTCAATCTGAACAAATACCTCGAAGAGGCACTTAAACAATTTGGGAAATATAATGATTTACCAGAACCTGCAAATAAACAGATACAGGAAGCAATACACCATGCGAACAAAGTGACTGGTGATATCAAAAAGGATGTCCTCGAGTTTTACAATGTAAGTTAGTTGATGTAAACTATTTGTGAAAAACATATATCAAAAACAATTAGCTACTTCGTTCATATATATGTCTTCAATACGTCCATCCCATTTGAAGTTCGTTTAGGTCGCACCATGTCGGTGTGCACACTTACTGCAATTGATATCCGATTGCAAAACGTCGTTAAGCGTCCCTGGTTGGGTCTTTGTACGGCAATTACGTTCGTACAAGAAGGTCATCTCGTTTGAATTTAGTTGCCACGCGATCTAAATACAGAAATGGTTCAGCATTTAAAACCACCTTGCAGAACTTAACGACCACCAGGAAATTTTGAAGAATGCTCTAAGCTCTGGAGGACGTTCGTGAAGTGTCTTAATAGATCCAAACCAGTTCTAAAATCTTCAAATCCGTTCGTACACAATTTAACCTTAAAAACTCAGGCCTATGTTAAAATAGTAACACCCATTTCTGTTTCAGTCTATAGCAGATGCTGTTGAAAATGCTCTACCATGGGCTGCACAACAAGTCGAGGATGCTCTTGGAAATGCTGCTGAAAGTGT